TCTGTGCTTAATTATGCCCAAAATAAGCCACTTGGGGTCAGACTCTCAGAGTTTGAACCAGCACCAGCTATTGTGACCTGTTGAACCGAACTGCCTCCCCGCGTCCCTCGGCTCTCTCTGCGACCCAGAGATCTCCACACCCGAGTACTCTCTGTAGGTTGCATTTGTGGTGATTAAAAAATAATAATAAAGCAGTAAAGTCCATTTCTAAATCCCTTGACAAAGGAGGATTCAGCGCGTGCCCCACAGACTCAGGCCTTGGCAGCAGCTCTGTCTTCCGGCTGAGATGCCAGTGACGCAGCAAGGCAGGCTAGTTTGATGCTGTCGAGGAGAGTGGTGTGCTCAAAACAAGGACTTAGGCTGAAAATGATAGGTCTCTCCTGAACATAAGCGCGAACCCACTGACAGCTGCACCCTGCAGGCCACACGGGGCCACAAGATACGATCAACACAAATACGGAAAGGTCACGGTGGAACATGCTAATCTGTACAGTTGACACGTCTGTGTGATCGTAATGATTTTTTTTTTAATTTTTAAAAATAATAGGACGGGGCCAGCAAGCTGGCTCATGGGGTGGAAGTGCTTGGGGCGTAAGCCCGAGAGCTCAGGTTCAATTCCCAGAACCCACGGTGGAAGGAGAAAACGGACCCCTGCCTGTTGTCCCCTGGCCTTCATATGGGTGCCGTGACACATGGGATGCACCTGCTCGCTCTCTCTCTCTCTCTCTCTCTCTCTCTCTCTCTCTCTCTCTCTCTCTCTCTCTCTCTCACACACACACACACACACACACACACACACACACACACACACACACACACACACAAATAGTAATAACAAATTAAGTCAAGAAAAACAATAGTATGATCTCGGATTACTACTAATCACAGCTCAGTCAGTCAGTCAACTCAAAATCTAAAGACTTGGAGGTTGAGGCGTTGGCTCACTTGCTCAGCATGCATGAAGACCTGATTTCAAATCCCCAGCACCCAGGTGAAAAAGTGGGCGTGGCTACACGTGCCTGGAACACCAGCTTTGGAGGGGCCAATAAGTTAGAAGACTGCTTTTAAAAAAGCAGAAAGACCTCAACTGTGGAGGACAAGCCAGCATTGGAGAATGTTCATGGCCATCCCAGTGAAATGCACTTAGCAACAAATTTTAATTTCCAAAGTAAACCAAATTGTAAAACTGGAAATGCAGATGTTATCTTGAGGCTGAGCAAGATTGGAAGAAAATGACATGATTTACCCAGTAAACCGTCTTGCAACACTTGTCAGGGTAGACAGTGTGCCAGATTTCAAACACTCTTAAAAAACAGTTGGGAAGATAACAGAAATGCCTTAAAACAGAATTCCTTACATATGGATGCAGATTGAACCTAACAGTTCTGTTACAATCAAATTCCTAGCTCAGAATTTCACTGTGTAAGCTTTCCCACAAGATTTTTTAAAAAAAAGGGGGGGGGGGAGTTATAGGCACATAACCAATCATTGCAGGATTTAATGGCTATATTTATCTGTGAACACAAAAGACTCTTGGACTGGGTGAGAGGGTCATAGCCTTGGGCTCCACTTCTGCAGGGCCACCTCCCTGAAGCCTCTGTGGAACCAAATGGGCCTCCACATGGTTTCAGCTTATGCCCCATGTGACCAGAATTCCTTCATCAATTGTCAAGAAGCTTTCAGAACAAGAACAAGCTCCTTCTAGATGGGCATGAGCCAGAGGCATGGGCATTGGAAGAAAAAAAGATGTGTACAAAGCCTGGACCATGGACTGCTGAGATGAATCAGTGGGTAAAGGCACTCGCTGTCAAGTCTGAGTCCCCAGAACCTATATGTTGGAAGAAAAGCCTAGCAATAAATGTGGCTAGGACTATGCCCTCCTACCAGCTAGGACTGTGCTGGGGCAGCAGTGTGTGTGTGGGGGGGTGCATACCAAAAGAGAAGGCACCCAGTCCTGGAGAAGATTTTCTCAAGTCCATTCCAGCTCAGAGCTCTGGGGCATGTGAGAACTCAAAATTCACACTTAGCCTTGCAATTCGCTAAAATGATGTGGTTGTCAAAGTAGATGGGTAGAACACATTTATAGCCACACCTATTAGCTTAATGCATAGTTTCCAATATTGAGACATAACCTCTATGAGTCCTTTGTTCTGTACAGAGTTACAGGTGGGCCCTGGAGGTACATGGTAGTCTCAGAGTTACACTGCCCCAGTTCATGCACCCCACCCCCAAGCCACTCCCATCTATGTGAGCTTGTTCAAGCCTCTTAGCCTTCTGAGTTTGCTTCCTTATTTGTAGAAACATTGACAGCAAGAGCCCTCTCATCTTAGGAGTGCCATGAACGGGAAACGAATCGGTGCATGCCAAGTGCCTAAAACAGCACCGGGGACCGAACAAGGGCTCTCCAAATGTCCACTCCATTATTCTCCAAACAAAGTTGACGGGCTCCTACAAATTTCTCTATACAAATCTAAGCCAGGCCTATGTGTTTCTTCTTCTCCCTTCCTTTCTAACTTTATTTATTTATTTATTTATTTATTTATTTATTTGGTTTTTCGAGACAGGGTTTCTCTGTGTAGCTTTGTGCCTTTCCTGGAACTCGCATTGGAGACCAGGCTGGCCTCGAACTCACAGAAATCCACCTGCCTCTGCCTCCCAAGTGCTGGTATTAAAGGTGTGCGCCACTACCGCCCGGCCCTTTCTAACTTTAAATGTCTTGCAAAAGGAAATTATTTTCCATCCTCAAAAGGACAGCTCATCTAACTGCTGATCTGTCTGGGTACAAGTCCTTCTAAAATTAAATATGTGTTCTTTACTACCCAACTCAGCAGATAACACAGGCCTCTCACTGATATGAAGCTCGAAGTCTAGCCAATTGGCCTGCTGTGCCAGTAAACATTTGAAAGACATGACCAGTTTCCAATTTTAAATATTAGAAGAATACTTCCCAGCCTTAATATTCATAAGGTTCAAAGCTACAAGCCAAGGTAGGTCCTTCTCACTCATGAACCCACGGCTGAGCTACTTGAAGTGGTGAGCAAAAAATGCACTCAGAAGAGAGAAGCTAGCCCCCTGAGTGGAGAAATGGGTGGGAAGAGGCCATCCATGGCTGTGTAGTATTCCACATGTTTCTTTATTAGCTGGCAGGGTTGCTATCATTACAGTTCCTGTTAATTGCTAACACTCTCTGATTGACTTCTGTCCCTCCAGCCTCCAATGACTGACAGAGTTGAAGGGAAATACTGACATGCTATAATGTATGTAGAACATCTTATATAATTCCATAAACATTCTATTTGTTTGTTATGGCCGATGGCTAAAAGCTCCAAAGAAAAAAGATTCAAGGTCATATTTACCCTTTGAAATGTGGGTCTAAACTACACATTCAATGCAATGAACATCAAACTTTCACCACCCACCACCAATTACTCCAAAGAATATGCAGAATATATCATTTGTCGGGTTAAGCAGGTAGAACTCTCCCTGCTTTCCCAAGGTACCTCTAATGAAGCGTTGTTAATTTCAACAATAGTTCCTCTAGTAACTCAGGTCTTCTCCAAACCCAAAATGGAGTATAAAAGCCAACAGGAAATAAAAGAAAATTAATTGTATTCTAAAGAGGCAGGACTGAACACATCTATTCATCCAACAGGAATTCCATCTCAATCAAATGCATTGTTTCTTTAAAGAGTTTCACCAACTTCCTATTCTAAAAACCCATGATCATGTCTAATTTTGCCAGTTTTTACTTAAGCTACTAAATGGGCTTTTTGTGAGAGCGAGGCCAGAAAAACAAATTTTTTACAAGCTTATTGCTTATACAGTCAAACTTTATTATATCGCAATCACTCATCGGCAGCCAGCATGGAGAGTGCTGTTGCCTTGCGCAATATGAATGCTAAAGAAAATATGTCTTCACAATAGGCCATAAAATATGTGAAAACAGGATGGCCCCCATGGATTGGTACCAGCGAGTTCATCTGGCTTTCATTTTTGCCGAATAGCCTATCAGTTGCAAGAACGCAAATCTAGCTTTAACTTGGAAACCACATTCTTAATTATTAATCTCCTCCATGCTTTCACTCCTTCCAAACTCCACTCGGCTAACTGAAGTAGAACACTTCGTTGAGAATCTGTGTTGCTAAAGACTCTCAGGAAATCATTTGGCCTTGGTCATTTTTTTTTCTCTCTCTACATCACATGTATCTGGGTCAGATCTGTGCATAACCTCACACCCTGAACTGTGGGGAACCCTGTGCTGTTGAGGAGAGCTTGGGTACCCGGAGCAGGCAGATCTGAGACATCCTGCACACCACCTGCCTAGGCACTCTTGGGGCTTTCTTTGGGCGCCCATAGATGGGAGTAACTGAGCTTGGAAAGGCAAAGCAACCGAAACAAATCTCCACTTGAGCAGCTTGGGGAAGAGCTGTGAGGACTCTCGGGGAGGGTGACTGAAAAAGGGGGAGCTTTGGTCTTGCGGTTGTGACGGACAATTTAAGGAGCTATGGGGGACTCTGAGATCCCCACAACCTGTCCTCTCCCTAAGCATATTAAGGTCCTTCTGCTTCATCGCCACAGAAATCCAGGCTACCTCAGATCAGGACACTCATTAAGCCTCTCCTTTCCCCAGCCTCTACTAGGGCGCAGGCAAGGGGAGCCACTCCGAGTCCCACTGGGTGTAGTTAGGGCTGTGCAGACAAGCTCTGAGAACTCGGAAGAAAGCACTGAGCTTCTCCAGACCCAACCCTCTTCCCACACTATCAAGGGAGCCCGCAGCACTCCGGGTACTAGGCAGCTGAACCCAAGTAGAGGCGTCCCAAGCGCTGCGCCCCAGCGCCAGAGGGCACCCAGGGGAGAGATCACGCAGAGACACGCTCTGGGGTTCGGTCCCCAAGAGCAAAGGCAGCGCACACCCGGCAGTCAGATCCACGGAAAATTCCCGGGTGGGCACTGAGGAGCGAAGGAGGTCCCGACTGTCCCCCCCACCAGTGCCCGCGTACCTCGCAGCCATACAGCTGACCCAGCTGCTCCACGATCCATTCCTCCAGCACCAACCGTTTCCGAAGCTCCTTGCGGTCGTATTTCACTGTCACTTTGCCCTGCTGGTGGCGTCGCTGCTGCTGCTGCTGCACCTGCCCGGCGGCGGCCACCGTGGCCACCGGCGCCGAATCCTCCCTCGAGGAGCCCGAGCCGCTGCTGGATCCCGGGCTGCCGCCTGTGCCACCGCGGGGACTCTGGAAGAAGACGCGCGCGCCGCCGCCGCCGGCCCCGCCGGCCGCCTCGCCGCCGCCAGTCACCACCGACATGTCCTCGCGTGCCGGAGCCCGAGAGTGGCCCGGAGAAGGGGCGGGCGAGCGCCCCGCGCCGCTACCACCGCGGCCCCGGCAGCCGCATACGAGGGCCCGCACCTGCTCCGCGAGCCTGGCCGCTGGATCCTCGCGGAGGGAGGAGGGACGAGGGCGGGCGGGCGGGCGATGAGGGCGGGGACCGCAGCCTTAAAGACGCCTCCAAGGACCCTGGTGCTCTAGCCCTGGAGACCGCCCCCGGCTTGAGAGTCATCCGAGGGGGAGAATCTGTGCCCGAGGGACAGGCCGGTGTTGGGCTGAGTAGCCCAGAGAGAGGTGGCGAGGATCGTCTGGGTGGGTGGCAGGAGAGAGGAGGGCTTCTACACGCGTGTCCTCGTCTCTTGCCCTGCAGACTCGAACTGTGTGCTTCTTTCGCAGTCCTGGGACGCACGAAATCTCTGGACTCCCTCCGTCTGGGTCAGCTCTTTCCCACTGGGTAAAGGTCGTGGGAAATGACCGCGCTGCGGGGTCCTCTCGCCCGTGGGTCTCCCAGGATGGCGGGGAGTGTCTCCTCCCCTCTCCCTCAGCCGGCCCCACCGGGCGGTTCCAAACACACATTCCTATTCATGCCATGACCACCACGGATGCCACTTCCTCTGTCGGATTGGTAAGGAAATTGATGAGGCGATGTTTGTGCAATCAGGCAATCGTCGTGCTGGAGAAATTATTCCCAGACCGGTTTTTCGTTTTCTTACGAAGCGCCTGTTTCACCCTAAGCTGGGCATCATCGGAGGCTTGAGCAGTCCAGAGGGTGAGGGACTAGAGCCATCGAGACCCCCAGCATTTCAGGGTTAGCTGGGCTTAAAATCTACTGTTGTGTTCCCAGCTCAGCCAGCTTTCCTCCCAGGGCCCTTTCTAAACTCTCTCTCTCTCTCTCTCTCTCTCTCTCTCTCTCTCTCTCTCTCTCTCTCTCCCCCCCCCCCCCCCCCCCCGCCCCAGGAAGGCAGCCGCATTGACTAGCTTACTTGAAAAACATCATGCAACCAAGTGGAATTACGAATGAATGAGCTTATTATAAGGTTGAGGGCGAGGAGGTGGGATGCGGAATTATAAACAGAAGTGTGTGTGTGTGTGTGTGTGTGTGTGTGTGTGTGTGTGTGTGTGTGTGTAAAATTACAGGGAGACACTAACATATTCCTGTTGTACATAACAACTCATTTCTGTTCAGGCTACCGAAAGAAACCACAAAGGCCTTCAAAGAGAAGTAACCAACGTTTAAGATTGTTAAAACAAGCTGGTGAAGGTTCCCAGAAGCTCTCGGAGGAAAAGAAACCATCATGTCAGCTTCCCCTGAGCATTTTCTGCTGTGCGGAGACTGTCTAGGTGGGATTCTCCACTCTAAGATGGGAAAACCAAGCCGTAGTGAGCAGGTCGGCCTGCACATAACCCGCGGACACTTCAGTTCTACCCAGGTTCTTAGATGCCTCTGTTCCTTCAATGTGGGGTTTTCCAGAAAGAGTGTGAGGGGATTTTCCCAAGGTTCCCTGCCTGCAGTTTATTGAGAGGACACTATCAGGCCTTGAAAATTACAAAGGGGGCACCTTAGAGAGGGTGTCCTGTACCAGGCTTTTTCTTTTGGGCTACCAACCAGCTCCCAAATCATGACAAGGAGACTTGGATTAGTTTTGAATACTCTGCCTAGCTTAGGCACGTTTCTGGCCAACTCTTTTTAATTTAAATTAACCTCTTTCTCTTTCCCGACCTTTTGCCTCGGGGCTTATTACCCTTCTTACTTCTGTGTATCTTCCTTTCACTGCGTCTCTGGCTGGCTTCTTGCCCAGGTATGCCCCTCATTCCCTCCTCCATCTTCTCTCGTTCTTCTTTTCTTGTTCCTTCCTTCTCTCGAGCCTAGATTTTTTTCTTCCCTTCTATTTATTCTCTGTACCTGGCAGCCGCCCCTATCCCTCTTCTGCCTGGGCATTGGCTGTTCAGCTCTTTATTAGCCCAATCAGGTGCCTTAGGCAGGCAAGGCGAAACAAATGTAACACATCTCTACACAATTAAACACACATCCTTACATCATTAAACAAATGCAGCATAAACAAAAGGAACACACCTTTACACAGTTAAAGTAACATTCTGCAACATCAACAAATATAACACGTCTTTGCCTGGTTAAACAAATGTTATACCACAACAGTGTCCCACAATAGGATGATTAAGGTAGGCCTTGAACTCCTCTCCGAAGAGAGTCAAAACTAAAAGACAAGATCTCTGGAGAAAGGAGGCCAGCTGAGCACGAGGTGAGTTTTCCTACAAACCTATCAGAGATGAAGGCGATGAATTACCATGGTGAGCCCCTGGAGACAACAGCCATTCCATACATCATCCACCCATCGCTGTCTTGTAGGGTATTTCTGACCATCTTAAACACCAACGCCAAAGCCAAGCGGTGAGGGGCTTCACAAAATCAAACTATCTACAAGGAGGAAGAGGAGAGGGCACAGCAGTCAACAGTGACCACCCCCCCCCCCACCCCGCCATGAGCTTGGCTCCTGCCAGCCAGCTGGTTCCATGCCAAGTTCTCAAGACCAGCTGTAGCCAACTGCACTAACCAGAATTTAAAACAAAACAGAAGTCACTGACATGTCAGTGAAGCAGGAGAAACCATACAAGCCCTGGTCTGGAGCCGAGACCCTACAATACTCATTATTTGGGAAACTGTTGTGATCCTAAAGTATGACCAAGAGTGGGAAATTCCCCAGCCCTGCTCTGAACCTCCGGACAATGAAGTCAGTCATTCGAGAAAGGCTTCAAAGAAATCGTGAAATTTCGCAAAGTTCTTTCTGAGGAATTCTTAAGTCAATTCTTTCTCGCTGCAGAGGATGTTTTTGTCCTGGGTGCTTAAAACTCAGTTTTCGCTTGTGATTTCAAAAGTGACCAAAGATATAGATGTCATGCACCAGACCTTGTAGAAAAATCACCAGCAAGTAGATAGGCTCTTGGCATAGACTTCAACCCCCTAATGAGTCACTCTTAAATACAAGTGAGAATTGAGAGAGCCCCTCTCTTTCCAAACACATTTTCTCTAACCAGTACATAACTGACATCGGAAGTGAACTCCACCACCCTATACCCCCAAACCACAAGCTTCATTCCATGCTTGAAAACACAGACCTCCACACCCAGATCTCGGCAGACATTTCATATACTGCTTTATATATTTCCAAAGGCAAAGCGTTTGGGACTAAAGTAGTTCTTTTCAGGCTGGGTCCTTTGGTTATGATGACTAGTTAAACTAGCAGGATTCAGTCTTCAAGAGCTCTTGCCTCACACCAGCTAGGCCCTGGGCCCCATCTCCACACAAAAAGGAAGCAAAAATGATAGGAAACTCAGCAAAACTGAGCGTTGTTCTCATCTACATTATATATACATTCATACATGTTATATATGTATACATACACAGAGGGGCATTTATTTTTATTCTGGTGAATCACAAATGAACAGGGTTGTTTGTTTGTTTGTGTTTGTTTTTGCTGAATGCAATGGGGGTTTTTAGAATGCAAGAGATGAGCTTTCCCCATAGGCAATTACTTCCTCCTGCGAGATCAGCCTAAGAAGGGGCATTTGTCAGTGGCCTCTCTTCATCACTTTGTTTTCTTATTTTGGCTGTTCCTTCCCACCCCCACCCCCCCGATATTTGATTTGGGTGGAGGTGTTTTTGTTTTCTGGAGTTATATAGGTCTTTTATCTGAATACGATCTTTATGTCTGAAGTTAGAATTATTTAATAAGTGGTTCTGGACACTCTTCAACCTCCCAGTGAAACAGATGCTATATTAATGTTTATGCTCAGATGAAAATTTCCTTGCCCTGTAAGACCAGATATCATCATAATTACAGGACACCTGGTGATCTCCCTTGGGGATGTTATAATTACAGCCTAAGGCCACAAACTTAAACACAGTGTTCTTAGCTAGAGTAATAAGGCCAGTAATAAGATGTTTAAATCCTTGGGCTGGCAAGATGGCCCAGTGGGTAGAGACACTTGCTGCCAAGGCAAGTTGTCCTCTGACCTACACACAAGCTACACACACACACACACACACACACACACACACACACACACACACACACTCACACACACACGTAATAGAAGACGCATCTATCTTAATTCTTTCAGGGGTATGATAAGACAGACAAATTAAACAATGGTTTAAAGTCTGGTTTTTCACCTTAAACAAGGAAGAAATCAAATATGCACCCTGGGAATCTATCCATTGTGCACAATATTTCTGGCTGTCAGACTAAAGTTAATAGAACGGTGCTGTTCCCAGTCTGTCAGCTGCAGTCTTCCTTTTGATCTCTGTGTCGTCTGTTTTGAGCTGCTTCTCACTCTAGGTCTTTGATTCTCCAATTTAGTCAGAACTCCAAAATGAATCCAGCTATTATTTCTTGCATAAATATCAGCAGTTATTAATCACAAGTCTAAAGTTTTGTCTCCACAAAAATTCTCCCCTGACTACCCATAGAAGATGAGAGTGGTGGGGTGGGGTAGGGTGGGGCGGGGTGGGGGGAGTCACAACTTTAGCAAAGTTTAACTATTTTCCCTATTCTGGTGACTCTAACTCATAGACTATCTTGACTCTTTCTGTAAAACAAGGTTCAAGTTTGTTTCTAGAGGAAGTTATCCTCTAGACTAGTCCGGTCAAGGGCTCTTGTCCTCTCCCCTTTTTGTGCTGGAAGAGTCGTCCTTTCTCCCACGTCTCTGTCTCCTCCACTGGAAGTGTCCTCAGCAAGGTCACCAGCCAACTCCTGTCACAAGAGTCCTTGGTAGTATTTCACCATTTACATAATTTGACCTGAAGATCATTTGATGATCTTGACCGCCAAGCCCCCTCCTCTGAGATCTCCATCCCAACATCCTCCTGGTTCTCGGCTGCCTACCTATTGAGGGCTGGCAGTGAGTTTTGTGAGCTCTTTTTCCCTTGAAGGTAGGCAATTTCCAGATCGACTCATAACCCATTTCTTGCTCATTGTTTATGTCAACTTACCCAACAAATAGATCCTTCAGAGATAATGCATTTATCTGGAGTAGCAGTGAATGGAAATACATGGGGGCAGGCTCAACGAGATTGAAATAAGGGGGAATTCCAAAGGCATGATGACAAATATTGCACAAGCTGTTTTGTAGAAATAATCCTTGGGCATGGGAACCAACAGCAAGGGTGATGACAATCCCAGCCAAGGAGGGAGATGTGGGACAGATACCGTTGCAGAGACGGGTTTTGGTGAAGGCTGCCATGGTCCTTGTGCAAGGCTGTCATTTTGCCTGAACTGCAGATTCCTGCAGTTTTTGCTGTTACCTCCCTGCCACAGACATCCCACAGGAAGACCGAGTTGGTCTCAGGTCTCAGCTTCAGATGGACAGCGCAGGCATTCATGCTGAGGCACTGGGCCATCGTGATCACAGGAAACAAGTACATACTTTTATGGATTCATTAGAGGAAAAAAAAACTGTATAGTGGATATTTGGGGCCACATATGCTCTGCCATGTAAAAAGTGTTCCAACCCAGTGTTTTTCAAATAAGCAATATACTTTGTCATGACCCAAATATGTACACACACATACAATTCCTCATATTGCATGGGTCCACTTGGACACTCCAGAGTCTATAATCTCTTGTGCTCCATTAAGTTTAAAGAATGATGGTCACAATGTACTAAACTGATTCGCAAGTCCACTACTACAGACTTCAGCATGCCCAGCACTGCTGTTGGCAGAGCGTGCCTGTAAGGTCCAGGCCCGTTCACCTTCCTCTTGATGGTGGTCCAGGCTGGTTATTGATTCACTTGGCATTTTCTTCCACCAATATTAAACATCCTAGCAAGCAACTTTGATCCCCAA